CTACTCCAAATCACCATTACCTCTCACCTGGGTTTCTTCAAGAACCTTCCCACTGGTCTGCTCTTCTGTCTCTGCACTTCTTAACCGAAAAGCCACAGTTATTCTGTTAAAATGCAAGTCAGATCATGTTACTCTCCTGCTTAAAATCCCTATCATAGCTTTCCATCTCACTCACAATAAAAGCCAAAGTCTTTATCATGACCTGTAAGACCCTACATGATTGTAGCTTGGGCCACATCTTCAAATGCTCCCCGCATCTCTCCTTTTCACCCTCTTCTCCCCCTCCCAGCCTCCTGGAGGGTCTTCCTAGAGGGCAGGCCTGCTTCTGCCTTCGGCGTGGCCTGTTCTCTTGCTGTTCCTCCTCTCCCAGATACCAGCATGGCTTTCTCCTTTCTTTCATGTCTTTAATGTTACTTCCCCAACACTTTTAGCAACCTTCTCTGCCTTATTTATTTTATTAGCAATTATTACTAACATACTAAATATTTTACTGGTTTATTTATTGTCTATCTGGCACATAGTAAGCATTCTATAAATATCTGTTGAGTGAACGAATGAATGAATGAATGCAAAGGTGATTTTCTTGTATTGAAGATATGTTTTAAATTGATTATATACTTCGATAGCAATTTTGAAAGTGCTCTACACGAATGGTTTGAATAATCATTCACATATTGTGTGTCCTCCTAATATGATTACTTTGAGGAAGTTAAAACTTAAATATGTATTTGAAAACAGTAACCTTGGGTATAAATATAAAAAGTAAATTTGAAGAAAATATGTGTTGAAAGAATTACTAAATCTGAACAGACTTCTGTTAGAAGTGATTATGAATACAAATGTAGGACTCTGGGCTGTGAAGAGAAACTATGAGTCATTTCAGACAAAGGAAATCACATCAGATAAGGCTTAAAGGGAAAGAGTGACTTTGTGGTGATTAAAAGTTGGTAAGCAATGATACAAGTTAATGTTAGTACTATCAATATATTGATATTTATTAAGGATTTACCATTTTGTGCTAAGCCTCGTTAAGTAGTAGGTACATTTATTTTTCCATTTTACAGAGAAAAAAGGCTACCATGGCTTAGAGTAGTTAAGTAACTTGCCCCTTGTCTCACATGCTTGAATCTAGATCTGTCTGATGCCAAAGCCCAAGTCCCTTTGAGATTACACTGTAATAGCAGCTCGCAGGGTGAAAATTAGGCAGAGGTGCAACTATGGAAAATCCTGTAAGAAGGCACCATTTTGTAAATCCTATAAGAAGCACTTACGGGTTGAGTGAAAGAGTAGAATAAGAAATCTCCCATCAGAATCTTCCTGTACCGCTTAAAAAGTTTATTCTCACCCCTCTTCCTCCTATTTTTTATTCTGTGTATGTAGTTGATTTTGCATCTACCACTGTACGTGATACAATCTTGCCAAAAGCCAAGCAGTTTTGCTAGTCTAGAGAGGATTGTTTAATTCTTTACAATATTGAAAATCTTGTTAAATATTTGTTACTTGTAGCATATCCACAGTGAATGTTGGTAGCATCAAGCAGCACATCAGTTATGGGATTACATACTTCATCTCTCTCCAGAATTAATCAACAAAAGGAATGACTGCAACAAAAACATGCCATTTGAGATGCAGGCAAACCATTTTATCATGAAAAGAAGGAAAGTGCTCACTTTGTTTCAGTCTCCCCTCTTTGTTTAGGACCCCCCACCTGATGTACTGGTAGAGCCCTTATTTGGTGACTGGGAGCTGGAAGGGTGTCATGGAAATGGAAATCCTTTTTCAGAATCTGAGAGAAAATGTCAGGCGTCTCCCATAGCCAGTCAACATTTTGTGTCCCTCATGTTGCTTAGAGAAGGGTTCTCTTCAGCTGTGTTCCCACTCCAGCACGTGGAGGCATGGGACACGCCTTCCGTCAGTATAAAACAGTGTTCCTAGCAGAGGTGAGAGCAACACCATTCCACTTCCCAGGCTAGGAAAGCAGAATTCTGGGAGTTTGGATTGCGTATCCTTTGAAAAAGTTTCTTCTGGAGAGTCTGTTACATCCCCCTAAGAGGTAACTCCCTTACTGTCCAGTTGACTATTATTGGTTTAGAACAAAGGCACTTGAAAAATAGTCATTGACTGTAAGTACTAACTTAGTGTTTCTCTCTCCCTGACTGGAGGCTTTTGAACAGTATCTAGTCCTAATGTGTCCATTCTCCTGTTTGCAGTTGTTGGGGATGTTGTTAAAGAGCTGAGAACAGTATGTTGAAGAGATTACAGCTTGAATGCCTGTCATGCTTATGGGTTCCTATGAAAGAGGCTGCCACAACTGCCACCCCCTAAGAAGGCAGAAACACAGCCTGTTTCTTTAGCATAGGTGGTTACGTCGTGTATCACGTTGAGTCTTCCATCCTAGACACAGTTGAAAAAATAGGACCGGCCATCTGGCTCGGAGGTAGCCAATCTATAGGCTGCTCAGGGTCTTATGAGATATAAGAACTTTCCAAGGGTCAATGGTGATAGAATCAGATTCCCCCCTCTCGGGCTACGGAGGAGAAATGGCAGGTGTAGTGGGAGCAGACGTGGAAGGGGCTGTGGTTGTGCAACCTGAATTATTGCTGTTTTCTGAGACATTTCATGAGGAGTGGGGGCAGCGGTGCACTGGGGCAGGCTCTTACAGGCCCGAGAGCTGGTTGTGTGCATCTCTTCCCAGCTCTGCCTTCAGAGACTCCGGTTGGTCAGAGTATTGACACCACAGTAATCATTTTGTGTTACAATCCAGGTCTCCCTCCTCCATGTCTAGTTGTTAAACATTTACTGGCACACCACTGGGTTGAGGGAGGGATGGTATATAGGAAGTAGGGGAAGTCTTACCTCCTCTGAGTCTTTTGTCTTGAAAACAAACATTGTTTAAGGTAATATGTTAACGTGATTGTTATTAAGATTACAATAAATAAGACATTCGAGAAAACATTGTGAAATACATGATTTAAGTATCAGTGGTTACATTACGAAACTCAGAGGAATGTGGTCAGAGGGTAGTCCCTTTCCTATTCCTGGTACCTATCAAAGCCACAGGTCCCCACCCTCCAGGCCCACAAAGGATGACTTGACAAGCCGGTTAAGCCTCTGGTCTTACTTCCACGTGTATTCTCTACCTTTATTACTTGAGGTAATCTGAGTGCACACCAGTTACTTAAAACCACAAGAGCCTCAATGAATACAGTTTTTGAATGCCACTTTTTAAAAAATTATAGACAAAATGGGACAGATTAGAACGGGTAAAAAAGAGTATATATGGACTTTGGAATGATGTTTGAATTCCAACACTACTTCCCCCCTTCCTGGAAGCATAATTTACTTATCTGTGTCTCAGTCTCCTTAGCTGTAAAATCGGGATAAGAAATAAGCTCAGAGATGTTTGTAAGGATTAAATGAAATATCATGTGTAAGACACCCATCAGAGTGCCTGGCACTTACTATGCACCCAGTAACTTCAGTTCTTTTCTCCCCTGTTTGATATACTTACTCAAGCTTTTAGAACAGGTGCTGGTATTGCTGACTGTCAAGTCAGCAGAGTTGATACAATTAATTGTCCACTTGTATTAACATGAATTAGTTTGTAATGATATTGCATCCTTTATAATTTTATATTTTTGTACTTACAGTCAACCAAAATATTTTAGATATAGCCATAATTATTACAAACCTTTGAAACAAGCTTTCTCTATACACTTAGAAAGGTCCTATATGTCAATCTACAAATGACTGCGCTCATTTTATTTTGTTTTTGAATAAATATTTAGACTATGGGCAAAGAACTATGCTAGGTGTTGTGGGAGAATTAAGAAAAACAGCTGCTTATATAATACACGGTTAAATATACAAAAAAGAAAAAAAGAGAGAAACGAAAGTGAGGTAATACTCAGTAGTTTCTTGTGTATTCTCTTCCAACTACCCAGCTTCTAGGAACCTACATTGAATAATAATGCTCTGTGTCTTTTAAATTCCTTGTTTACTGTATTTCAGCTTATTTACCATTAGTTTACTTAGGCCATCTGCTCTTAGTCCCATTATCACTGCTAGTACATTAAGGGTGAAATCTGCCCACTTGCCAGGGATGTCGTGCTTCTCAGTACCAGATGATTTAAGGGGAGCCACTTGCAAATGGACTGGTTTTTGGCATATGGGCCTTAATACTTTGCCAGAAGCGAATTTGTTTTGAAATAAAGTTTCTGATTTTCAAATATATACAGCATTTTCAAACAAATAGTGTGATGTACAAATTACCATACTTTAGTTCATGTTAGAATAATCCACATTCTAAATCTGTTTGACATTTACCCCTTAAGTATTTTGCATCAATAAATCACTTCTATAGCATCTTAAAATGTTCTTAAGTAATTACATAACATCACACGTCCCCAGGGCCTGTCCCATTAGTGTGAGTAAAAAAAAATAAATTACCGTAATTAAGACATAATTATGTTGTCTTGAAAAGCTAAGGGTCATTTGGAATGGATTCCTGGAGGAGTTATCAGTGCCAAAGAAAAGTCAGGGAACTCCTGGCTTAGGCCTGTGATTACACATCTGGGGCTGACATTTTGATATCAGAGGTAGCACCTTTTGAATAAATTTCAACGTTGCCCTTTAGACAAGCTACAATAAACACAAAACCAGTGTAAGGGAGATGAAGAGAGGTTGACGGTGGAAAGAACGACAGGTCTGAACATCAGACTATTGTCACTCAACCTGCTTCAATTCCATATATGGTGTTCACATGTAAGTCTGGCAAGAGCCCCTCTGTCATTTTGGCTAAGAACCGCACCCCCTACACCTGGTGTAGAGGGCCCACTCACCTGGCGTGCAGGAGGGTGGCTTTCTGTGTCATAATGCCTGATTATGGTGTACAGCATGGCTCACCTAAGTGTGTGCATAACTGGCAGTGGCGCTCCGGCCTCACCCTCCCCACTCTTAAGAGAAGTATTTGCCAGATCTTTTTATTTCCTCACCGCCGAAGCTCACAGCTGATGAGGAGCAGCACAAGAGTCTCCTCAACGCTCCCTCAACGTCCTCCTGCGGGCCCCTGGCTGCCTGTCCTGGCTCCTAGCGGTGGCTTCTCTTTTTCCTACGCCTCAGGGGTCTCAGGTGGGACTCGTGGGGAGGATGCTCGGCTCTCTGCTCTTGGAAAGGCATGACCCTGGCAGAGGGCTTCCATCTCCGGGTCGCGGCCGGCGGCCGGCGGCTTTGGGGGCGACCGCGGAGGCGAGGAGGAGGCCCCGGGGGAGCTGGCGGCCGCCGAGGCCGGGCAGCGCGCCCCATCCGCGGCGGGCGCGCTCCGCCGTCCTCCCTCGCTCGGCTCCCATGCTCATATTTGGACTCGGCTGCCCGTGCCCAGGAATTTCCCGTCATGCCTCCCGCCGCCCCGTCCGTCGCCCAGAGCCGGGGCGGGAGGGAGCGTGTCTCGGACAGCGGCGGCGGCGGCGGCGGCTCCCGGGCCCTTCCATGCGCCGGCGGCGGACCCTCCCGCGCCCCCTCTCGCTCTGCCTCTGCGTCTGTCTGGCCGCGGCCGCGGCGCGAGGAGCCGCGCAGTCGGGTAAGTTGGGGCTCCCTCCCCGCTCCCCCGCCCCCCTCCCACCCCGGCCGCGCCAAGTTGAGGTGGGACCGCGACCCCGGGTCCGCTCCGAGCGCGGCTGCACCCCCTTCCGCCTCCTGCGGGGACACCCCCCTCTCTCGAGCCGCGGAGGGGCGCGCAGAGCGGCAGCGCCCCGCGCGGGCGGCGAGGGGCGGCGGGAAGGAGGTCACGGCTGGCTTCGCCCCCGCCGACGGGAGGCGTCTGGCTGCCGGGCTGACACCTTATCCCGTCCCAGGAGCGAACCTGAGCCCGCAGGAGGCTCCCGCCCGGCGCGGGCCCCCGAGGGAGGGGCCTGGCGGGGCCGCCGGCAGGAGGCAGAGGAGCGGGTCCGCCCCCCGCTCGGGGGGCGCGGGGCCCGCGGCGGGGACCACGGGGGCCCCCCAGCTGCGCGCGGGTCGGCCCCGCCGAGGTGGCGGCTCAGATAACGGGCCCCGGCGCGTGGGAATGTGCCGGCCAGGTCAGCGCCTCCCATCGCGCACCCGGGAGGGGCGTGGGGCGCGCGGGGCAGCGCGGGGACCCGCGGGCGAGCGCCGGGGAGGGGCGCACCCAGAGGCGCGCCCGCCGCCTGCCCGCAGCGTCTCCCGCGCCACCGGCTCCGGCGCCCGCGGGCCGGCTGGTATTTAATAGGCCAAACCCGAACCCAACCCCGAGTTTGCCAGGTACTCGTTTTGTTTTGTTTTTAGGTGGAAAAAAGCATCCGAGTCTGTTTTTTTAAGTTTTACACTGGGCTTTTTGCAAGTCAAACGATATAAACGAAAGGTGCCATGCCATTATTTGGTGTAAGACTGTCATCTGGAAATGGGTAATTTTGAATTCTTAGGATGATTTTTAAAGGGAGTTTTCTTTAAATCATGTGGAAAATATCGGTGAAGAATTTTTTTAGGTAAGGTTATTATAAAAATTATTTGAAATTACAAAGGTAGAGTTTAAGGTAAATGTGAAATTGCATGAACTTTTATGTGATGAGTATCTGATCCTCAGAACTTCTCAGTTCTTAATTTTGTCTGGCATGCATGAACAGAAGTTATAATTACTCAGAATTAAAATTTCTTAGGAAATTTTAGCTTGCTTTTGTTTTTGCCACCAATAGACTAAACTCAAAATAAGATAAGGCTAACAACTGGGACTTATATATTAGCTGAAAACTGACTCTATTAAGCATAGATTATATTCAGCACCCTATGGTCTAGCTCTTCATATTTCCATTTGTGGCATTGTTGGCAAAATAGATTTTAAAAGATAGTTTTTTTTCTATAAAAAAATCTTCAGGATTCATGTAACTTATAAAATTGTTCAGATTAATGCAAGATTTAAATGATATTTAACTTTATTAAATGTGAAGTTTATCAATATTAATTTAAATAATGATTTCAGTTTCATATTTGTTTCTGATTAATATTGCTTTGTTAAAAGACCTACTTTTTTATGGATTCATATTTTAGGAGTAACTTTAATAGCACTTCTTGGGAAACACAACAGGCTATAACTTCACATTTTATCAACGGTCTTCTAAAAAATACTATGCTGAATCATAAACAGTGGATTGTACAGGGAACATATGTATTCCCCCCCCCCAATGATGTGTTCACTTACCTAATACTTGTGGTAAAGAAGCCCTTGAAGACCAAAATCCACCGTACTGTGGCCCTTTGCTAGCAGTTTTGAATACCAAGTTTATATTTGGACCATTTAAACACTTATTCTTTTAATTTTGGTCCCAACTGACATATAAGTCTCATTTCTGGTGACTTTTATTAGGGCCTTATGTGAATGTATGTCTGGAATTTTTTTATATTAAAATAAGTAACTCTCTGACATTTAGAATTTTGTCACTGTGCCTAAACTGCCTGTCTGCCAAGGTTGCAAGTAAACACCATCATTTAGATTTTGAACCAACATCCGGTTTTTTGGCCTTTAAAGGTGCTTATTCTAATATCTTAACTAAAATGTTAACCCATTAGTTTAGAAATCTCTACTGTTTTGCTAAGATGAAGTAAAAAAAAATATCCAGAAGCTATCTCAACAGTAGTTTTTAAAGATTTTTCTGATACATTTATCCTTTTTTAATTAAAAATAAATTTTCAACCGTTAAAGAGCAACTTTAGGAACTAATGCTTTCTGGTTCTGTTATAATCTGGTCACAGTCCCTTTGATTTTATCTCACTTGTGGGATTTGGTCGATGAATTTGGCTCGTATGTTCAGCTTCCTTCTCTGTAAAATGATGAAGTTGGACATTAGTCTCCAAGTCTCTTTTAACTCCACGACCCTATAATATTGGTTTTGTTTATATAACCCCGCAGAGCCACCCCACTACACTGGTTCAAACTTCTGATTGTCGGCTCTGACTTGCTATACATGTTAAACTGGTCTGCTTGTAGTCATATCTGATAGGTGTGGATCCAGCTTTGGGGAGCCTTGATCCGCCTCAGGAATGTCTTGATACCTGGCATATGCACCCAGATGCACACACTTGGACAGAGTTCCGTAATAGTAAGCTTCTGTTAATTTCTTTCCCTCTCCTGATACCAGAAAGTGCTGGTTATATCATAGGTAAATGCCTAATTGCTCTTTGGGGATAGTTAAGCCCAGGACCTAAGATGGTTGGTATTCAGTTTTGGAATTTGAGTCTAGATTAGGGATGCCACTGGAGAGTACCCAAACTTTTCTGTGGTTGGGAGGATGGTGGCTTGTTATTTGGGGGCATTCCAGACGAAATGCCCTGTATTGGGTTTTCACCTTTTGGTTGTACCTGAGAGGAGACCGAATTGGACCTACCCATCTGGTTTATTCAGAATTAAATTGGCATTGGATAGGAGGATAATCAGAGAGCTATTTAATTTGTCAGTTGTTAGTTAGCATCTCTGATGGCTGTACAGATATCTCCAGACTTAACCTAGAATATTCCTACGTCTACTCCTTCCTGGGCAGGATGGGTTTTCCTTTTAAAATGCTCAGCACAATCCTGGATCTTTGTTCACATGTTTGTCTCTGTAGCATACCAAAGTCATGTTTATGGCTTTTAAGGAAATACAAAGAGAAAGCAAAGTATGGAAAAAGTAGACCACTAATGAATCAACCAATTGACTTTATGGGGGATTTTGGTTATTGCCTCATTTAAGCATCTGCTGCAAGTAACAGAAATGAACAAGTTTTAGGAAACAGAAAGAAAGGAATTTGATGGAAGCCAAATGCAGACAGTCCTTATTAGGGACCGGGGACTGGAAAACCTGCAACTTTCCCAGTCTTTGGTCTTTGCTTTTCTGTGCGTCATTGTTCTCTCTTTGCTCACCCTTTTTTTTCTGCTTTCCTGTGTTCATGGTTGAATGTGGCTTCTCAGCAGCTCCTGAGTGTTCACATGTCCCTCGCTCCCAAGCACAGGGCGAGATTCAATCATTTAGCCTTGATCCTAAACACCAGAGAGAAAGAACCTGAAAGGCATAGTTTGCATCAAATGACTAATCTAGATTTCTGTGAATTCTCTTCTAATTCGAGAGCTTTTTGTGGAGTGGAGTGCAGACACTCACATGGCTTGGTTTTACATTATTACGTTTTTTATTATGGGGTTATTAGTTCTCAAAATATATTTTTTTCTCTTGATCGCATTGTGTGTGTAAAAGAGTGTGACACATTCACTGGGCTCCTATGACTCGTACAGAAGTGCTTGGGGAGAAGCCCTGGGGAGAATAAAGTGAGTGTATAGCACCATATTGAGGAATTATAACAGAGCTTGAGATCCAACTGAGTTTTGAAAATCCTGTTTAATAACAACCAACCCATCCTGCAGATAATCATTTGCATATTTTCAGGAATTCATTGAAGTAAATTGCTAAGCTCAAATAGCTAGTCTTAAGGGTAAATTCAGTAAAACTATACTTGATAACTAAGAGACATTCAAAATAGCAATAGTTTAGTAATCAAGAATTCATCATTTATTTTCTTTCACATGTCTAGCATTTTCCACCTCTGCATTTTCTTTAGACCATTTCTGCTGCCTGGGATATATATATATTTTTAAAGATTTTTATTGGGGAATTGGGGGGATGGGAACAGTGCTGGGGAATTGGGGGAAGGGGAACAGGCAAGTTGCTGTCGTTTTGTTCTTCAGTCTGGTTGTGGAGGACATTGCTTCACTGGCCCAAGTTGGCACTGTCATTGCGCTCTTCCGGGGTGAGGCACATCAGTCACCGGCTTCTGGACGGCCGCTCACTGCGGCTGCTGGCCGCTCACACTGGCTGCTGGCTACATACAGTAGCCCATGGCAACCCAGTGCCACAGGGGCTGCAGCCTACGCCGTCGCTGGCGACTCATGGCAGCCCAGCTCCAGGTCGAGCTGTGTTCAGCATCTTAGCTGTGGAGGGCAGTGTCACTGGCCCTCATATGTGGGATCCGAACCGGGGCCCTCTGGCGTCCCAAGCCAGTTCTTAACCATCGCGCCACTCGGCTGGCCCTGCCTGGGATATTTTAATCTCATAACCTTGTTGAAGTCCTTAAGGCCTTTGTCACATGGTATTTTGTGAAGCTTTCTCCATCTCTTAGAATTTGTCATTTCCTTGTGCTTCTAAGACGCGTTGTACCTTGATTGGAGCACGATTTTACCATGTTGCATTATAAAGTCCATATGTATTCATCTTCTTCACAAGACTGTAAGTTCTGTTAGACCAGTGAATCATCTAGAAGAATTCTGCTAGGCTGTTCCAGGTATAATGATTCCAACGTTTTAAATTTTCTGAAGCTTTTATGGTATTGTGCTTGTTTCCACCTTTTTTTGACCCTGGAACTCGGTTACACCTCCCTTCTTTCTCAGTCCTTATCTATTTTCAAGGTTTTACAGGTTTTTCCATGAATATTCTTTTGTGTGGTTACCATTAAGTTTATTCCCAAACATTTCATATACGAGTATATGAATATTCTAGTTTCCTGTGTGAGGATTGATGTATACAACGATAATATGTATTCCTGT